CAACAATAAGAAAATGAAACCCGCGCTGACGCTAAGATTACTTGTACATTTTCATTTTTATAGTATTTTAATAAACTTTTCTATTAATATTACAAACCGTATTCCGCCTTATGATTATTTTGAATGAGGGGGTTTAGACGTAATAAATGGGTCGTTCTGCCACGAAAGGGGTTCTAATGCCAAGCGAAAGCCGCCTTTATGGCCGATCGCTATGTATCTCTATAAATAGAAATTAGATAGATATCTAAAAAGGGGTCCAAAATAGACTACGAATAGATATTAGAATCTCTATGGATAGAGATTCTATAGACCTTCCATAGACGTAAACTGCTACTAGGGGTAATAACTGAGCTAGTTTGATTTCTAACTATGCAGTAAGTTACTTGATCCGGTGCTCGACAAGTCTTCTTCCTTTTCCATATATTTTTATCAGTTTCTAAACGCATGCATACATAGCGGGTAAGTTAGGGAAAATTGAGTGACTCTCGAGCTATTTAACAGCTTCGACCAGTCGACTATTGAGCTCAACCCCAGCATGACACAGCTTTAGGTTCGGACAGCTGGGTGATGCACGATAGAGGGAAGACTGTGTGAGGCCTCCTCTGGACATTACATCCGACGGCACTTCAGATCGATTCCTCACCACAGAGGATCTTCTGCGCATACCACCATCAGGATGCCTAAAGAAGCGTGAATGGATGGCTGCCAACGGATGGACTACCTTCGTCCATCTACCAGGACGGACAGTCAGGCTTCAGTGGCTCCTTCTTAATACGACCTCAATGGCAATCCCATTCAACTGGGATCCGGGCTTTCTTTTGTGTAAAACTATGGTTCCTAGAGCACGGGTCCAGTACGCGAAGACGATCCGGTCGCCCAGACTCCGTCTTGTTAAAATGGATGAGATCGAAGAGAGTGCTGCAGATGCAGTGTAAGTCTGCTATATCCTGTCACACAAATGCAGTTCCGTCCGGACACTCTTCCTACGCATCAATGCCCACTGCATCACGCAGGTCGAGAAGCTGCGAGAGAGTAAGTCGCTATGACAACTCTTCTTCCTCTTCAGTGGATAGGCACAGGATTTCATAAAAAATTTCCCTTTAAGGCTCTCAGTCTAAAAGCTGTTTGCGTTCAGTTTAAGGACTAGCATTTGGTCCTAATAAAAAAGTCTTATTGATTTGGAGCATGTCATACACGCCATGGGAGGCAGTCATTAACCAACAGATACAATGCGAACTCAATGAACCTTGTACGGTTTTAAAACATGCTTTATAAAGAAACCTAGTCAAAAAAGCAAGAATACTTCTTCGGTTATCCACTATGGTTAAGATATGATTAGCTATCAAACGAGTGGATGAAACAATATTTTACTTAAGTTTTCCATGTAATATATTGGAAATGACAAGCGCAGCGAAAAAAAATATATAAACAAACAGGCTACTAAAGTACTCTTCATTTTATTGGGCGCGATTTTTGCAGTTGATCAAAAAGATATGTACTTTAAGGCAGGCATTCTGGTGTAGCTAAAATATTGTGGGATTTTACCGCAGGATAATCAATATTACAAACCAGTGGAGTGAACTTTCTTAATAAAAAATACATTTCATAATTTCTGTTAACATTTTATAAAATTGGTTATTTGCTTCCAATACAGTGAACTGGGATTTTCCCCGAGGATGCTGAAGAATAGTATTTACTAACAACGAACCTGATCCTGAAGTTTCACAGAAAAAGATCCCAGCGGATCCATTTCCAAGCGCCGAATTCGTCTCCTAATGCGTCCAAGGCAGATTCGCATTCGATTTTGATATCGTCGATAGTCCAGTGGAGACACCTGGGTGTGAAACAGTCTGCCATCTCTCCACCAAATGTGCACAAAGTCTTGGCAGTAGACCGCGCTGACATATTTGGGGCTAATGACCTTTGCAGAAGCGAAAAACAAAGATACACACATCAGAATGTTGTTAGAAAACCTTCCATCGAAATCGGACGGTATTTTTTTTTATGTCAGTTGATTGTGTTGTTTATCATAATTTCATGATTTCGCAGATTGAACCTATGTTCCAACATGGGCGCCAATTAAAATAAGTAAGTTTGAAGTCCGATACGAAAAATGAAATTGAAGGAGGGCAGTATGAACGTGGTTATTTCATTTCTTTTGTATTCTAGGCGAATATTTGTTTTTCAACTGAGTCACACTAACGAGCGGTCTAACAGCCATTTTGAAAACTTACATTCCTTAGCAAGAACTGACTGGAAGAAACACGAACTATAATCAGTTGCCTAATGCACTTTTGCATTCTCGTGAAGTTCGAGAAAGTACAAGACGAGTTTCGCGAGGACTTGCGCTTCACATAAGGAGATAGAGGCGGATAGTTAATTGTAGCATTAGAAATAGAATTAGCAGTATTAGCAGTACCAGCTTTGGTCTCCTTGAGTCTGTATTGACACATACTGAAGGTGAGTGAGGGTTGGTAGTGCGGTTGTACTAGCGAAAAGGCTACTGTCACATAAGACTAAGTTAGACGGTGTTCTGGCCTGCATTGGAGAAAGCGGCCTACACCTGATCCTATTCGGTCATCTTGACTCTGACTTGTCACCGGTTCAAGCTGGTTGAGGGTTCAGTATTCGGTAGACGGCTGCGTGCATATTTTCACTTATATCTAATCCCTGGCTAAAGTCACCCCCTCTACGCTTGAGCACATGGTGGGCTTAATCGAAATCAATGGTCGAACTATCATCATTATATCATAATTTAATGGGTTGACAGATTGAACCTGATGCCAATGCAAGCGAACATGCGACTCCTAGGAAATAATTGCGAGGAAATAAATTTAATCGCTGGGACAATAATTTTATTCCCCTGACGTTTCGATATCCGTTGCGGATCCATCATCAGAGACAGTAGCAGAAAGCGGTATTTCGTACACAGAGAGTATTTATAGGATACAATTAGGCAGCTACTGTATACTTATGACAATTAACGGCTCCCTTATCGAGGATATTTGCCCACTCGTGCGCTAATTACTTGATGGCTGGCGTGTGGATGCTAACCTGCCGAACCTTCATCACACGCGCTGGACTTGGGCACGATGATTGCTCGGCCATCTGGTTCCTTTGCGCTGGCATCGCGGCTCATTCGACGAGCCTTAGCCACACAGTAAAATGTGATGGGTTCGAAATTCTCGCCCGAGTAGGCAATCATAAAATTCGCGAGCTACTTGAGATATGGTTCACGAGTACATAGTCTATAAGCAACTGCATCGACCTACCCATTCCATATTCGGTGCTGAGAATCAATTAGTCTAAAGCAAGTCGCCACTTGGGGAGAAAGCACGCCAACGCGTTGCCGAACGCCAGCGCCAGGGGGCCAGATGAGCGAGAATCAGCAGGCACGCCAGCGATCAAGTGATTATCGCTCAAGTGGACAAGCGGGGAATCGTTAATTGTCATAAGTAAGCAAAACCATAATGCCTGCATCCTATAAATACTGCAACTCCTTGTGCATTAATATCCCGCCTCCGCTATTGCCTCTGATGATGGACACGCGACGGCTTTCGAAACGTCAGGCGAATAAAATTCTTGTCCCAGCGATCACATCTAATCCCTCTCAGATTGAACCGATTTTCCAATATGGCCGCCAAGTAAAATAAGTGAGGTCCAAGCACGAAAAGGAGAATGAAATTAGGAGAGGAGAGAGAGTAGCAAAATGGTTACTTCATGTATTTTTTCTTCTGAATGAATATTTGTTTTTCAACTGACTCGCGAAACCAAATAGTGTAACAGTTGACATTCAGTAGAAAAGACCTACTGGCAGAAAATTGAAGTACAATCAGGTGCACTTTTGTACACTGGTGAAGTTCAACTAAGTAGAATACAATGCAAGTTAAGCGAAGACATCCTCGTCATATAGCGAGGTAGAGGCAGTACCTACTGAGAAGTACTATTTGAGATTGCCCTAATGAACCAGTAAATAAAAGGCACAGCTTATAAAAAACCGTGTAAAATTAAGCACACAATACGACCAATCTTTCATGCGAAATTCCAAAATTTGCGAAGGAGCGAAACTTGCTCGCAAAGTGGTATTAAGTAGAGTTGTAATACTGATTATCGGGAAGCCTAATCTTACGTGACTTCAGTCACGTCAGAATGTCAGCTTTTTAAGAAATTGCTCTAACAGGATGGTTATTCTGTAAAAAATGGCAAGTTGTGTAGATTGCCTTTAACTCATTGAGATCCTCCGCACAAGAGCGACAGTTTCTTCTACTAAAAAATTCCCAAGGAGGTTTTATTCACTGTCTGCTCCTTTAAAATATGTTCCACACCATTGGCTCCTGTCAATTGGCCTCGCCAACAAAATGAGATAGAATTTTTCTTATACCACAACACGCATGTAAAAATAGGGAACACAGAGGTAACCCACCTACATCGCCCTCAAATATAATGATACTGACTACCTTTATAAGTTCAAATATATTTTACAGAAAGAATTCACAAAATTATTCTTTATTGTACTCACTTGGTAGCAAATTACGCTTCCTTCAAAGTTTATGCCGAAAACGAAGGGTATGATTCGATTTCAAAAAAGGTTTCACAATTGCCGAATAGTTTAAAAACCTACCAACCGTTATAACTGAATTCCAGGTTCCCAAACTGCTTGCTGTGAGCATGCTATGCAAGGAAATCGTATGTTTTCCCTACGGTTTGAGGAAGAAGTCGAATAGTTTTCATAAAAATTTACAATAGATGTAAATCATTCTGTACTTATTATAGGTAACATTTATAACTTGACGGATACGTGTTTTTTGAGAGAACACTTCACAATCGTAATAAATCTCATAATTTCAATTTTTAACGATTAAATATACCGTCACTTTAGGCATAAATTTAAAGACGGCGTCTGTTGCTACCACGCGAGTAGAAAAAGAATAATTTTGTGAACGTTTTCCATAAAATGTGTTGGAACTTATAAAGGTAGTCAGCATCAATTAGTTAAATGCATACTACTTAAGTTGGCATTTTTACCAAAAATACATCTTCCAAATGGTTAGAAGGCAACTCATTAAAATCTGGCCTCCTGATATGACCGAAATGATGTGAGCTTAGGCTGCACGACCATCAGTATTACAACCCTTCTTTATATCATTTTCCGATCGATTATCCATATTTTGCAAATGTCGGAATTTCTCATGAAATAGAGGCCGTAGTGTAAACTCAGCGTTAAAAGTGTGTCTCACTTACAGCACCACATTCCAGGGGAGAACAGGTTGGTGCAGACGGCAACCGGACAAAACCATCGCAGTGCTGGAAAGAAAGGGCTGGTAAAACGTCCTCAACAGTCAGTTTCTGTGCTACTACTCCAAAACGTGCAAGCCAGGCCTCCGTTAACTTGCGCGAATGCCAACCAAAGGGCTCAGATGGTGGTCTTTTCTGAGCTGAAGTATTTGAAGGAAATGAAGTAATAGTCAAAGCTGACAACTGCATACTTCTTAGCGGGGTAAAAATGGTCAATCACTCACATCTTACTTCACCAACATGTGAATGACTCGACCGGAGTGCAATGATGCTTTGTATGAGTGCAAGAGAGTTTCGTGCTTTCTCCATCTCTTCCACAATTAGACGGCTGTCATCGGAAACAATGTAGCCCAGGCTGGCCGGCGAGGTCGGAGTCAACTGTTGCTGCGAGATTGATGGCTCCACATAGGCATGAAAACTATACAAAATGGGGAAAGGCCATAGGTTTTGCTGAAATAACGACAAAGAGGACAGCTTGTACCTGGCCTGCCCATATGCTCTATCAGTTAACTCTCATATAAGCAAAAACACATTAAGAAAACTCGCTTTCACAATTTTTCTACATAATTTATGGAATGGTGGTTCCATATAACAGTCAATGGGTCGGCCCAAATTATATAACTTTTTGTGACCTCCAATTCAGTTTGTATGATTCAAAATTATGCAGACCGGGCTGGCTGTGTAAGAATAACATATGCACTTCCCAGTTCTGCAGTTGCTAATTATAGTTTGTTCGGTTAATAATAGATGTGGTGCAAAGTCGTAATAAGGCATAATTCGTAATATTTCCGGCAAAGATACTGATGACTTAAAAGCTACTACGGCATTTCGGACATACAGTTACGAGGGTTTTACTGAATATTCCAATAAACATTAGGCTTATTTATTCAAATAGCGAATTATGGCACAGAAGTGTCGGCTTGAAGGCATTTATGGGCAGTCTTTAGGACCAATCAGTAAATCCAGTTTTACCTTTGAAGATCCGTCGCAACATCTGGCTTAGTTTTCTGGCAAACGGGATAATCAGCCGATGATGAAGGGTACAGGCCAAAGTGAAACCGACAAAGGCAAGAGAGACAAGAATGGCCCTTTCTGGCACAAAAGCCGTCATCAGCCAGTCATTCGCAATCCAGGGATGACAACCAACGAGATTCGAATCAGCGACCTTTGGCCATTGTGTGCCAAACTCTACCATTGCACAACGGATACCTTGCTTCTGGCGGTTTCGATCGGAAATATGATGATGCTAGGGCAGTCACCGGTCTGGTCACTGAAGATGCTCACCCCTTTTTGCTTTGGAGCTGAATATAAAGCTCTCGCAGGCATTTGCATAGTGACTTATGATATATTATTAAATGGAACCGAAAAACGAATAGATACTGGAATCGCCACCCTTGGGATTAGATATAACTGGCGGATGACAGGTTATAAACCAGAAATGGCCATTCTGTTGTCCCTTGGTTAATTCAACTTTATCATAAATTAAAAGTTGCTATGCGATGTCTTGCAAGGGCTCTAGATTGAGCTCAAAAGCACAACGGGACGCTTTTTTCCGTAACCAAATCGGTGAGCGCCCTACTCTCAACTTTAAAGGTGCTCAAGCGCAAGGTAGAACAATTCGTAATTTTCTTATCAAATTAAGGTTGCGTAGAATTTTTCCAATAATAAAGGCTTTCACGAAAAAATGAGAACCATCCCCATAGACAACAAGAATGTGAAGAACACAGGAAGTGCACTACACTATGACACTATTCAGAATTTCTCACTAGATATACATATATTGACAATCATAGTTCAGCTAAATTCGGCCTGGAATACGGTTTTTGGCTCTTACCCACTAACGGCCATACGTCTATGTACTATACTTTTATTATAATGTGCTGGAGTGGGTATTTTGATCGACCTTAAACATTGACTCTTGTGTACTTTTTCGATCTTCATCCAGGTCCTATGTTCAACTTAAAAAGATTATGAACTAGGTTTCCGAAAAGAATGGGTTCTATCCTTTTTCATTCAAAATTTACATTTTAAAACATTTGTAGTGGACTTACAGAATAAGTTCAGCTATCGATTGTTACTTAATAATATCTAGACATAGACAAATCTTGCAAACTGCCTGTCGTTTCATGGTGACCTGAGACCTCTGCATCTTATATTAGTAAGTGAAAAGGCAATATAAGCTATTTTTTGGTCATGAAAGGTGGGATGACTTCAAAAAATAGTCTATTGTTTGCACTCTTAGGTGGGAATGACATATTATGAGGACTTGAATAATACTTCATTGTAGGAATTTGTTAACTAAAATCGCCTTAAAAGCTGCACTGGCAGTTGCAACTTGTTGAAGCATAAAACGGTAGCATCATAAAAAGTTTCGATTTTAATACATCAAAAACCTTATAACGCCGCACATACCGACTACTTATTTTCTGACGGCTGTTTTGGTACCTATCCAGGCAAGTGTTTTCAGCTACAGCGTACATAACGATGTGTACGGGAATGGCGGCTTGTACAATTTCGTTTAACCAGGACTCAGGAAATGCGCCAACTGCTATGAAGTATACTGCATCGCACTAAAAGGATCAACGTAAAATAGAGAAATTCAAACTTTTCAAATGAGTAGCGAACACTTCTAAAAAATTTAAAAGAAACAAATGACCGGCTAATCAGTGTTATTTCCGAAAATTTCACTTTAAATATAAGAATTTACATAATTTTGTCATACTTCTTGCCAGTCAGATGCAGCAACGACAGCGTCTGAGAGCGTTTGTTCGCTGTTTGTACACGGAGCCTCCAGTGGGATCAACCACTCAATAACAGAGTATTCTAACCCCTTATACGCCTTTAGCGGTTGCGAAGAGAACACTTCGACATGACCCTGAAAACTATTTGTCGTATGTCATGATAAATTCTTTTTTACCTGACTAGTTTAAACATTTTGTCGGTAGAGAGTTGAGAAGCAATAAATTGACGAAATCGGAGAAAAAAAGTATGCATATTTTGTGCTCCAGCTGGAAAATGCAGGACAATCCCGACACACTTTTCGGGAACTACTCCAAAATATAGCGCATCCTCAGACAATAACCAATAAAACCTGGCTTTGAGTAAGTCGTATATAAACTGCAATTGATGCTCATAGATAAGCAGCTTTTTGGGAGGCATAGAAACCTATACAATAAAAATTAATTTGTCAATTACACATATTTTCTCCAAAGAAGGAAATGTTGTGATCATTTGAAAAATATCCTGGCCATATTTCGAAGAAACGTACTTTCGAAGGACATTAATGTAGCCTTGCAAAGGTTTCGTTAGTTTTTGAAAATTACCCTTTTCCGTCTTAAATCCAATATGTCCAATTATCGACACTTCATCAAGCTTAAACTTATTAAGCCCAAAGTCTTTAAGCCATTTAACACTACAGAGTTGCAGCTTTGGAATTATATCGATATTTTTGCAGAGATTAATGGAACAACAACTGCTATTTAGCAGCTGGTTTGACATATGTCTGCGCAAATTACAGTAATTTTTGGGCATTTTAAAGACGTCGGCGCAAAATTAGATCAGCGAATGCATTAAAATCATCTACAGAATGCGATACCCACTCCGTGATGATATGCAAAGCCACCAGATATTTAAAGGGGCGCGAACCGAACGTTGCCGTAACAACGTAGGCGGGTTTGTTTTCTGTTGATTGTTCATTGGCTTCTCAAATGTTGAGGTCGCCAGTCACGAAAAAGGGAAAACTTAGACTTGGCGGAGTTCCACAGAAAATATGTTGGAATTTCGACATCACATTGTCCTGCTTAGATGACTTCGCGTCTTTGACGTCTTACTTATTTCTTTCCACAACAGATGTCAGGACGAATGGTGATAGAAGAGATAGACCAGCTATTATAAGAATTCATACTCTAAAATTGGATGTCGGTTTCCCTGGTGAATCCCGAGGCTAAGAACTAGCGACAAAAGTCGGCTTTCTCGTTTTCGATAATTTCTACGCCATTATAATCCTTATGTATAACGACTGGGTCCTTGGGTGGTGGTTGACTATATATATAAGAGTAAAATTTTGGCCTCATTTTCAGCCTGTCGGATTTAT